TTCATTTCTGTTTCCAGCCCGCGTTCCAGCTGGGAGCAAAGCTGAGCTCCTGGCCCAGCTGAACTGGATCCTAGTAGGACTTGGGTGGGAGTGGGAGGAGGTGGGGGCAGGATGCTTACCAGGGAGACTGCGCCTGAGGGCAGAGCTGCCTCAGGGATGACCAAGTTGTCCCCGGCACACTGACAAGCATCTGTGGCAGCAGAGCTGAGAGGTCCGTGTTCAGGAAGCCGGGCTCTGATCTCAGCAGGGACAAAGAACAGGATCCGGTCTCCTAGGAGAGGCTGGTAAGAATCAGACTTGGGGTTGCACAGCAGGAAGCCAGAGGCAGAGTCCTGGAGTGCACCCTGGGCTGTAGGACAGGAGGCAGAAGGCCACTGTGCCCCTTGCACCCCACACACAGGTGGGGGAGAAGCAGGAGGGGTGGGGGCCACTGCAGACAGTGACTGCAGCTACCTTAGGGGCCAGGGACCACTGTGGTGAAGGCACACAGGCTGGGTGTCTCAAAAGCCTAAATGTACTGTCACAGGCAGGAGGCTGAAGTGGGAGTGAGGATGGCAGCAGGACCAGGTCTGTCTGGAGGCTCGGAGGGTCTGTGCTGTGCCTTATTCTTCGTTCTCATGTCTCCAGGACTCCTTGGGTTCCTCAGCTCATAGCCACATCCTTCAAGTCTCTGTCCCATCATGGCATGTGGTTCTAGCTTTGTCTTCACCTGGTGTCCTGTCTCTGGGAAGGTCTTGTCTCTTTTCACTTACAAAGACACCTTACTCTAGGGCGACATCCCAATGGCATCTGCAAGGGCTGTTTTCCATGTAAAGTCACATTCTCAGGTACTGTGAGTTAGACCATCAACAGCATACCTTTCAGAGGAGTATGACTTTACTTTTTCCTGACCATGCTTGCTTTCCTAAGGAAGAACCCTTCACTGCTCTGATGGCTGCCAGGACCTTGTAAGGAAGTGCAGAGCAAAACTTGAGTCATAGAACATTCCAAGTCTTAAGCCACAGATGTGAGCTTGGCCTGAGTCAACTCAGTCACCCACAAAGCACACCAGAGCTGGGCCCCAGATGTACCTACACGTGGAGCAAAGGATGGAGAAAGGGGAGGAGCCATTTTCAGGGAGGGAGGATAGCTTGAGAATTCACTGAGAAGTAGTGGGAGAAAGTTTTAAAAGGGATCACTTGGTCAACAAACCAATCCCTGCAAACAGAACTTCACACAGTCTCTCAGTTACACTACCAAGAAGGACAAAAAACGAATGCTTTAAAATTTTTATAATTAAACCAGTCACCGTGGATCACACCTTTAATCCCTGGTACTCCAGAGGCTGAGGCAGGCGGATCACAGGCTGGAGACTTGCCAAAACCACTCAGCAAGACCTCGTCTGAAAATAGAGGAAAACGGCTGAGGGTGTAGCTCATGGTGAAGCCTTTGCCTACCATGCACGAGGCCCTAGGTTCATTCCCCACCACTGCAGGGAAACATAGTACAAATAATTTAAGACAGTAGAATGTGGTAGATGGATTTGCTGTAGCATTTACTTTAGGAAAAATCCTGAGGATGTTCAACAAGTCTTGCGTAGCTAGGGACAGTTTTATAGACTGGAAGATTCCCTACTCCAGGACTGCAGCATTGTCACATAGATGTGGGGACATCAATAGGAGGGGACCTGAGCTCTCTGTGTCACACTTACACCAATGTGGAGTTGTTTACTTTGACATTAGCAGCAAGACTGCAGTACCCTAGTACGAGCATCTCCCTGGGTGGATTCCTCATAAAAGGATCCTTGGCAGATAATGTTTAAAAAAAGCTTCTGGTGTACTGCTGTGACTGGTATAAATTACCCATGATAACTCCAGCGTAAACATCAACAAAGTTTTTGATTGGCTAAAATGATTACTTTTAAAAATGGATTTAGTACAGGGTCTACGGGATCTCATTACATAGATTGAACTCGTAGTGATCCTCCTATTTTCAGCCTCCCAAACCCTAGGATTACCGGTAGGTACCACCACTCCCAGTCTCAATCAGTGTCTCAGCATGCCCCGGGGCAGGGCCAGCACAGCACACTGGGGAACAAACCCAGCTGCTGTGCTCTGTCTAAACAGGTACTTAATCCACTAAACTATCTGGCCAGCCCAAAGTGATTATTTTTTAAATAAAATATTGGAGGAAAAACTGCTGCCCAGCTCCTCACACCAAGCCACCCCAGGAAATCTGCTAATGGAAATGAGGAATATATTTAGAGAAACCTAAGGCTGATGGAAAAGAAATGGTCAGAGGTACTGGAATTTACAACAGCCACAAAACAATAGCGAAACAGCGTTCAACTCTATGAGACTTTCTTGCAACTGTGTGACTCATCACAAATTACAAACCTTAAAAATGATAATTTTCAAGTTATATTTGCTTAAAGTTTTAAGGTGTATCATCCTCAAAGAAAGTCATGTGGTTGAAGATATTCTAGCAATGCACAATATTCAGTTGAGGCTGGTATTGTGATTTTAGAGACAGTTGGGAATACATTTCATCGGGACCATAATCCTGAGTTCTAGATCCAACTTTGTCGTGGGCTCCTTGCTTTGCCAGGCCTCAGTTTTTTCATGTGAAGCATGTTTGATAAAATTATCTAAAACTTCCTATTCAAATTTAAAATTTTCATTCCATTCCTCATCCTATTTACACATAACAGTACTATGTGTAAATCCACAATGTCTTATTTTGTCTAACCGTGTTAAGTCAAGTTCATAAAGAGGTGTAGATCGATTAAAGTTTTATTTTTTATAGAAACACAAAGTAGCAAATATATTTAACCCAATGTAGTGGCCATGGAAAAGTAAACCTTACTGGAGGAAGATGTATGCATCTGATTCTTTGAATACAGAGAAGGGCTGGGACGGCCTCAGAGGAGTTTATCAGCCTACAAGGAAGCTGGGAACCACTGCTTTTAAAAGCTGTCCAGGTGTCAAACCCCAAAACTATATTAAGATGGATTAAAAGAGCTGGCTTCCATGTGAATGCCCAGTAAAGCCACACGGGCCATGTTCCTTTTCAAAGAACCTGGGGAGGCATTTCGGGATGCCCTTTACCTTGGCCCATCCTCACAGACTTGCTAGATATGTGCAAGATGGAGAATGGTAGGAAGGGCCACAGCTTTCTTGGGGCGGGAGTGCTTCCAGCCAGGCCCAATGGCGTGGAGAGGTGATTTCTTTAATGACATCATCAAATAATAGGAATGGGACCCACTGAGGCAGCTTGCAGACGCTGGGCCTGGCAGTGGCCGGCGTGGACAAGGCTCACCGTTCTCCCTGCGCCCCCTGTCTTCCTTTACTGTCCAGCATCACCCGCTTGTCTCTTGAATGATCCTCCTTGGGCTGCTTCACCTGTTCTGTTTCTTCCTTCTATCCCCAGACTAAGAGGCTGTGTGGTGCAGGTTTGCAGGAGGCTACTAGCTAAGTGACGTCTGGCAAACTGCTCCCCTCCTCTGCAAGACGGGCCGCCTGACACGCTACCTCGTAAAGTCTTGGGAGCATTGAATGTTCCCTGCGAACAACCTATGAATGGTGCTGGCAGCATTAGTCGTGCTGTGATCGGCGAAGGCTGCGCATAGCTGCCTTCTCCCTCTGTGCTTCCCACCATTCTCTGCCTTTAGCTGCCCTCTCTGGGGTGATTCCCAGCTCTGCTCTCCCGTCTTGGTCCTCGGGCTCTGCTGGCCCACCCGCATGGCAAATCAGTTAGACACGGGCTTTCTTATTGCCCTTCCGCGCATGGCCTTGCACGGGGCCCCTAGAATCTCCCGGCATCTGCCTTCTCCCATACATAATGGAAAGTTAGACGAGATGACTCTTAACTTCCGACGCTACAACTCTGACCACATGTCTGAAACTCCGGCCATTGTCTTTCAGGCCATTTCACCTTTCACTTTAAAAAAAAAAAAAATGTGCTTCATGACGACAGTCCCTTCGTAGTCCTCTATCTCTGAAATCTTAAAGTAACCTATTTTCTCTCCAGCCAATCAGGTGTCAGCTTCTGGCAAGGGGTCTATCCCCTCCCTTCCTTCCGTGACTGCACCTGCTGTCCACGACCGCCCTGAGGAGGCCTCTCACCACTCATGTTTGAAGGCTACTTGTGTTCTCCCATGTTGGCTTCCTCTTCCTCATTTACTTACTTAAATCCTTCTTTTCCAGTCCTTTAATCTAACAGGAATATGCTAACACACAATTATATGAGGACTTTAAGTTCTGTTTCCCCCTTGGTTTTGTTATGAATATGTCTATGGTGCTGTTAACATATAAAAATGGGGGCAAAGTTGATAAATGTGTATGTTTATGATTTCGTTTTCTTGATATGTGAATTTTTTCTTTCAGTGTCTTTTTATATTTTTATTAATGCATATTAATTGTACACATGGGCACAATGTAATGTTTCAGTTATGTATACCTTTGATACTGATCAAATCAGCGTAGCATAAATATTATATTTTTGGTAATGGTAAATACACTTAAAATGTCTCCCAGCTATTCTGAGATATAATGCACTATTGCTGTTAAATATACCCATTGTACTGGGCTACAGAACACCAGGATTTACTCCTCCTGCCTAG